AGTCCACGGTCTTCCGTGTCAACATGCCGCCCGGCCCGTTCATCTCCGATGACCCGAAAGTTGTCTGCTTGCTGGACGGAAAGAGCTTTCCCACGCTCTTTGACGTCTCTGTCGTCGAGAAGAGGGACGTCTTCACCGGAACTTACATGCCGTCGACTGAGCTCACCGGAGGGTACCGGATTCTGTCGTACATTGACCCGTCGGAGCCCAACCATGCCAAATTGAAGAACCTCATGTTCTTCCTCCTCTCCCACCGCCGTGACAAACTCATGCCGGAGTTCCACGACTGTTACTCCGAGATGTTTGACGCTCTGGAGAAAGAAGTAGCCTTAAAGGGGAAAGTCGGATTGAACGCCGCTAACGATCAAGCGGCTTTCAATTTCTTGGCCAGGGCACTCTACGGCGCCGATCCGGCGGCGACGAAGCTCGGACTGGAGGCGCCGAAGCTAATCGGGAAATGGGTTCTGTTCAATCTCCACCCCGTGCTCAGCCTCGGACTCCCGAAGCAGATTGAAGATCCCCTGATCCACACTTTCCGGCTTCCGCCGGCTCTAGTCAAGAAAGATTACCAGCGGCTCTACGAGTTCTTCTACGAGAACTCCGCCGCCGTCCTAGACCACGGCGAGAAGCTCGGCGTCTCCAGGGAGGAGGCCTGCCACAACCTCGTCTTCGCCACGTGCTTCAACTCCTTCGGCGGGATGAAGATCTTCTTCCCCAACATGATCAAGTGGATCGGACGCGCCGGCGTGAAGCTCCACGCGCAACTGGCCAAAGAGATACGCGCCGTCGTCAAATCGACCGGAGGAAAAGTGACGATGGCGGGGATGGAGCGGATGGAGCTGATGAAATCCGTCGTCTACGAGTGCTTCCGGATCGAACCGCCGGTTCCGACCCAATACGGGCGGGCCAAACGCGACATAGTGATCGAATCCCACGACGCCCGGTTCGAGGTGAAAGCCGGCGAGATGCTATTCGGGTTCCAGCCGTTCGCGACCAAAGACCCGAAGATATTCGACCGGGCCCAGGAGTTTGTGCCGGACCGATTTGTGGGCGAGCCGGGGAAGGAGCTGCTGAGGCACGTGCTGTGGTCAAACGGCCGGGAGACGGAGAGTCCGACGGTCAACGACAAGCAGTGCGCCGGAAAGGACTTCGTGATGCTGGTGTCGCGGCTGATGGTGGTGGAGCTCTTCCTCCGTTACGACTCCTTCGACATTGAAGCCGCCATGTCGCCGCTAGGGGCGGCGGTCACCTTGACTTCGTTAAAGAGGGCCAGCTTTTGATTTCTGCATTCTTTTTTTTCGTTGTCACAAAAAGTTCTTTCTCGTCTTATTTTTATTAATTATTAATATTATGTCTCTCTTTCGAATTGTTTTTTATTTATATAGGAAGTATTAATGTTATCACTATATCTCAGTCTATTTCATTTATAAGCCTAATGTCTGATTAATGAAAGCCAAATGTTATCACAAATCAACAACTTAATTTGCAAAATGAACAAAAAATGGTGTTTTGACTACTAGTATATTATCTTTTAATATGTACAGAGTATAATTTTAATGATGCAATAGTGAATATACTTTGCGTGTTTGGTCTAAAACGAGAAAAAAGTCTAGAATAAAATATATTTTAGGCTCTCTGAATTTTGATCTTAAATACGGAGTAATGCTATTCCAAATCTTTGTGTTAACTTTTATAATCGACACTTTAGTCATAAATTTATTCAGGGTCCGTTTGGTATACGGAATTAATGAAATTGGAATTGAATAGGAATTGAAATTCTATGGGATTCAATTCCATAGAATTGAATTCTGCCAATTTCAATTCATTTTTTACACTATCAATTCCAAATCCACATAATTTTTGTGCTACGAAACACAAGAATTGGAATTAAAATCTTCAATTCCAATTCCATGGTTTGAATTCCATGTACCAAACGGGGCCTCAAATATACAAAAATTTCAATAAGTTTCAACTAATCAAAATAATGAAACCTTAAAACAACTGGGTTATACAAAATTGGGAGGCCCTGTCAACTGCACATATGTTTTTTGGTTCAACAAAACTCCAAAGTGAGTCAGAACCAAACTTTGTTCCCCTAAGATCATACTTTAAAAAATAGAGTTCAAAACAGCCATCCTGTCAACCCGCGGGTCTCGTCCTTAGCTTCCCACTATATTGATTCATCATCTGCTTGGGCACAATATCCTTTCTTGGCTTTTTCCTCAAAACAGTCCTTGTGACCTCCTCGTTCGAGGATTCGCTGATTGCTGCACCGAAATGGATGGTTCGAGGAGGGGCAGTTTTGTCTTTTTTATCTGCGACTACAATCTCTGTGTGGGCACATTGTTTGACAAAATACGATGCTTCTTTCTCGCATAAGCTCAGTTTATCAAACATTAACACATCAAGCTGCAGATTCCCGTGGTACTTGAATACCAAGACGTCGTTCATTTGCAAGGAATGTTCTTGTACGAATGTTTTCCAGCCATGCTTAAGGTACAAATCATCTCCATCTGCTTCCAACTCCACGCTCCATACGGAACCACTAGGCCCTTTGAGGGAAATTGTGCCTGCTAGTTTACCTCTAAGATTCTCAGCAAATTTCTTGGGAAGAGCCTGCAATGTTTAGCAGTTCTACTATTTAGCAGTATAAAAGATTTAGGGCCATTCAACAACAACGCGTCAACGAAACCATTAAAGTCCCACAAATGTAAGGCCTTGGGAGGGTGTGTGGGTGTGTGAGAGCATGCCTTACCAATTACCCCTACTCGGAAGTAAAGGGGTTGTTTAAAAAAAAATCCTCTTCTCATTCCAAGCTTCCAAAATCAAAATCCATGGCAACGAGAAAGCATGAGTTCTATGCTCCATACGTCTTAAATTAAAAGTCATTATTCTAGCCACACAAAGATTGTTTCCGAATTCAAAACATATCTTTTTGCTAATATTCTCAATTTGCACATGTCAATTCTTCCGCCGCACGTGTGCACCAAAGGGTAGAAGAATCAATTAACACGGCTTCTAAAAATGTGTGCATTTTCTAAAATGTGGGAGTGGGAAATAGCAAAACATGACCATAAGGAATGCAGAATTAAAGAAGCTGAGCTACTGCCAAGAATATATATAGTTCTACAAAGATAGTAGGATTAAGCATATTTGAGCGTTTACTCAATAATTTTATGTTCACCCCATTGTTAGCAACGGCCTTGAATACATAATTAAGACTCACCACTATACTTTCCAAGAGGAAACCTTTTAATGGGCGGCCGCATACAACAACAACAACAACATTACCCCGGTGCCTCAATGGCTCCCGCCCATTGCGGGGTAAGAGGGGGTTGGATGTACGCAGTCTGACCCTTATGCTTTAAACATAGAGTGGTTGTTTCCAGATGACCCATGATGATCGAGCGTCGAACATTGACTAAGTGATACTTCACAATTGCAAGCGCAGACAATTTAAAGACCCAATTTGCTTTATTCCATCATACATCAAAACCAAAAAAATAGTGAATCTTTAGCTCCATAGGGGATTGGAAATAATGGGCGGCCACATAAAGAACAATAAAAGAGAGACGCTAACACTATGTTTGGTTCAAGGAATTTGGATAGTAAAGAAAATAATTTTCTTTCATTTTCTTTTTCCTTATCTTTCCTTTTCTTTTCGTCTCTAGAAGGGATAGTTCCAAAAAAAGGGCAAAGATCCATTATTTACATCAAGAATTTAAAGAACAAGAAAAGGAACTAGAGATAGGGGAATTGAAAGCCCATAAATTCTAGAAATTTCAAAGTTATAATTGCAATTTACAAGCTGATGATCATAATGCGACCCAGAGAGAATTTGAAAGAACTGAACCGTTTGAAAGTGAGACCAGTAAATAGTTTCCTCATTTTTCTTGCAACCCATGCAGCTCGAATCCCCCATTCTTCAGCTAATTTTACCTTAATAAGAGTTCAAATCATGAACAAAGACTGGGACTTTATTGAAGAAGAAACACATGCAGCTCGAAAATCAGACATAAAAGACTATAACTTGAATGCAAAACTTAACCGGTTGGTTCTTGAACAGAAGATCAAACGCAGAGACAAGGTAAAAGAAAACCATGGGCTAACCCAAAATGAGTAAAAACAGAGACGCATAAAAACTGTGGGCTTACCCAAACCTTATTTTTAGAGCAATGGGTATACCTTATACCAAAATGAGTATTGAGTACCTCATTTATACAAAGAGGATATTTCAATTTGATGTACACCTAGCATTATTGTTATTTTTATCAATACCATCGGCTAGTTTTGTTTCACTTCTTTTGTCTCATAACTATCTTTATGTTTATTTTTTTTTACGTCTCTAATGTTTTTCATTGATCATTAATTTTTTTTTATTTTTATCTTTGTGTTTTACTTGTACCACCCTTATGTCAACTGTTGAGTTACGTCTCACCAGCAAATAGTCATAATTCACAAACCAAAAATTTACTATACATCACTTTTAAAATTATTTTATTTACAAACTGATATATAAATTAAAAGTAAAAATTTTCATATTTCAAAATTATATAAAAAAGTTATAAAATAAGATCTGACAAAAGTATTTTATTTTATCAAATAATCAATGAAAATGCACTAATAAAAGATACCGAAAGACTAGAACATTAACTAAGACGATATTTTTAGAGTATACTTTCTTGACTCTTGATGCTGAGTTATCTTTGTTCTCTCATAATTTAATAGGGAGTATATTCATCTAGAGTAAATATAGCAAGAGTACAATTTTTAGTCAATTACAAACGTTGACTAAACACAAACCAGTCAAATCCACAACAAGCCTAACCTCTCTCTATATAGACAAGTCCACAATGCAAGTAGAGACTAACCCTACAATGCAAAATGTGACAAAAACACAAATATTATACATTCATACTAAAATCCTCTCCTTTAGGTTGCGTTCCGAAAGCCGAAATCGCTCCCCCGGGCCCCTCCACCGCCTCGCTGATGCTGTTTCGTTTAAACAAAAAGTAGACGACGCCGCCCCGGGCGTAGCCTCCACCTAAAAAATATGAAATAGTGCATTGTATTATAAGGAAAGTACAATTTTAACCCTGGAAATGACATCATTAGAGACAATCACACATCAACCAAGCCATTGTATGTCATTTAATGTAGCCTCACCATATGCAAAAACCATTGACATTTGTTAGTGCAAACTAATCCAAGCCTTCTCCTCCATCAACAAAAAGGGGGTTCAAAAACCTGGCCACAAATGCCCACATCTTATACACATCCTCAAAATTGGTCAAGAAACCGAGCGTCGCCGTGACCACCTCAACCCGGAAGAGCCGGTTCCTGCGGTCGTGGCACCCGCTGGACATCAGCTTATACGGCGCGAAATCCACGCCCTCCAAATTCCCGGCCGCCGGATCCCCGTCGCCGGCCGCCTGCTGTATGTGGCTGAGGATGCCAACGCCGAGAGATATCCCGTGTCGCTCGGCCAGCTTCTGGACGGTCTCCGGGTGAATCAGGCCGCCGTCCCGATTCACCCGGACGTTGAACGCGACCGACCCGCCCCTTTCGTACTTCATCTTGGGGCCATATATTTGCACCAGAGCCCCTCCATTGGGGAACTGAAGCTGCAGGAGTGAAGTGACCAGCCAGTTTGCAAGACACCTTAATCTGTGGCTTGTTTTGTTGAGGCCCAGGGTATCCACGTGGTCCAGATGGCAGCAGATTATCTCCGGGTCCTTCCTCCCGACGCGCCTCAGCTCTCTTCTCCTCGACAACCTGAAATCGCATTCTTTCGCGGAGAGGAATTGACCCGAATGGTCTGAGTTCAGGTACGGGCTGTAACCCGACCCGATCCGACCCGAATACCCGTATTCGCTGTCGGCTTCTTCCTCGTACCTGGTGCTTGAACCGTCCCGGTCCGAGGAGCTATCGTCTTCTAAATCCAGGAACATGTCCCGGACCTGTTTGGACGTGAAGACCCCGGAGAATGCGGGGAGATGGGACCCACATCCGAATTCGTCTTCTCCGCCTTCGAATCCCAAACCGGAATCGAAACAAGAACCTAAAGAGTCGCCGTGGTACTGAGGGAGCTCGGGCATGATCCGGACCATGTCGGCCCCGGTCCGACCGGGCTGGGTCTGGAGGGTCGCCATCGCCGATTTCTTGATCAGGAGGCAGCCGAAGCCGGTGGGATCGGAGCCGAAGACCTTGTAGAAGGACGTGATAATGAAATCGGGCCTGAAAAGGGACAACCCGAGAGAGTCCATATCCTTTGGGCCTAACGAGCCGGCGTCCAGTAAAACATGCCAGTTGTGTTGTTGGGCCAAGGCCATCCATTGGTACGAATACGTGGCCCCCGTGACCCGGGACTGGACCGGAAACGCGAAAAGCCCAACCGCAGAAGCCCTCTTCTTCTTCTTCTTCCTCTTCGAAATCTCCTTCCTCAGTTCCTCCGAACAAGGGTTCAGAGACGGCCACCTAAACCAGGCCTTAGAAACCTTAGCGCCCTTCTGTTTGGCACATTGGGCCATCCAATTCACAGATTGGCTCTCGTGGTCAAACATGGTCAACAGATTCCTGTTCCTGTCGAAAGGGTAAAACTCCCCGACCAGTTTGAAAGCAGAGCCTCTGCTGACAGTGAAAACCAGGGCGTATTCACTCTCGGGAATGTGCAAGTAATCCATGATCCTAACCTTTATGTCGTGTTCCATGGTTCCCTCCTCCGCGCCGCCGTGCAGGGCTTGATTGCTGAGGTTTGCGGTTATGTGTTTTAAGGTAAACCCAGATGTGTTCCAAGAATGGAGGGTTTGGTGGTGGGAGAACAACCCAAAGCCGCAATAGTCAAGGCATACCTTAGATTCCGGGTCGGAGAGGTGACTGTAATCGTTCAGTCTCAGCTGATGGATGATCTTTTCTGAAGATTGGAACTTTGGGTACATGATTAGGAACTTGAGGAAGGATTCTTGGTAATCGGGGATGGATTCTTGGGTGTGGAATGCCCGGTCAGCGGCTAGGGCAGTGGCCTTCAAGAATTCCTTCTGGGCATTTAGCCTGGCCAGAGACATTGAACTGCCCAAGCCCACTTCATCTTCATCATCTTTGGTTTCCAGTGACCCCTTCTCCGAGGCGTCTTCCAGGGCTTCCCCGAGTTTCAGCTCCTGCAGTCGTATCAGGATGGAAGAAGGGGTCGGTCTGGTTGCGCCGGACTCCTCTCCTCTTCCTCCTTTCCGGCCAAAGATCATGGCGGCGCAGTGGGACAGTGGTTTCCATAGTGAGAGATGCATTTGGGTTTTTGAAATTTGAAATCTTGGCTCCAACAGTAAAGCAAAGGCTAACAAGGAAAGAAAGATAAGGGTTCAACAAGAATGTGTGTTCAAACTTGAAATATGAAGAGGCATAGAATTCTTTTTTTGAAAAAAAAAAATCAAGACTTGGTCTGAAAAAGCATAAAAGGTAAAGAGAGAGCCAAAGATATCTGATTTGGAACAAACCTTTGACGTTAAAGAGAACAAAACCCTAGCTAGCTTTAGTCTCCCACAATTCAAACCCCAAGAATCTCCATTTCTGTCTTCTGCCCCCCCTTCAAAGATTCCGTACCCAAACGTTAAAGAACCCAATTTTGAGCCACTCCACACTCAATCTCAGAAACTTAGAATAAGTATCAGACAAAGAAAAATGGCTGAGGCTGACAAGAATCTAGAAGATAAAAAGCCGCCTTGTTTCAATTTACAATTAAGAAAAATTCAAAAAATGAAACCAAAACTAAAGAAGAATCGAAGGAAACCTAGGAAAAGAAACACAGGGGGGAAAGGTTAGAAAAACCAGAGCACTGATAAATGCCAAAAGCTGTGGAAGAAGAACGCCAGACAAAACAAACAAAAGATCGGAGCAAGTGATGATCGCAGAGCAAATAAAGAGAACTCAAGAAGGACGTCACCTCATTTATGGCTTCATATCTTCTTCTTGTTTTCCCGGTGGCCCTTATTAATTACATGCCTTTTTGGTTCTCTCTGATAATAAGTCTCACGTTTTACAAACTAAGGGGTTGTTTTTTTCAGCCTCTTAATGGTTCAGATGTCTAAATGGTTCAGCACTTAATGGTTCAGACTGTTTGTTTCAGCCTCTTAATGGTTCAGATGTCTGAATGGTTAAGAGATTTGCCTCTGAATGGTTAAGTATTATACAGAGTCTGAATGGTTAAGACCTCTTATCTGAATTGATCAGACATTTGCTTCTGAATAGTTAAGCAATATACTAGCTCTTAATGGTTCAGACCTCTTACTGGTTCAGCACTTACCGATTCAGAAGTTGCCAAACAGCCCCTAAACCTCGGGTTATTTTGAATTTTCTAATAAGATTTTTCAGATCTGATGTTATTCAAAATAAAATTCGGGTTTCTTACCATTTTGAGTATTATACTCTGAGAATACATTCTATCTATTTACAGTGTTAAGATTGAAAATTTCATTACATTGGCAAATTGAAAGATTTTGTTAAACTCTAATAAAATATTCCCTCCGTCCTAAAATTAACTTTTCATTTCACTTTTCACGGTCACCAATGCGACACTTTGACCATTAATATCTTCATTTTTATATGAATATATATAATAAAAATAATATATTTCAAAACTATGTTTCAAAATGAATCTATTGATAATAAATTTATATGAAAATTCAATATATTTTTTCCGTAATATACAGTCAAAAATAGTTTAACTGCAAAAGTCAAAATGAGAAGTTAATTTTAGGACGGAGGGAGTAATAATTTTAGGTAAAGTTTCTTATTTGTCAAAGTAGTGGAATTTCCCAAGGAATGTACCATGATGTATATTAATATTGCTACCCATGCACACTATATTTCACATCTCTCACCGTCATTTATGTAGTGTTTGGATGAATAAAAATTGGAGAGAGAAAACAAAAGGAAACAAAACACAACATATAAGGAGTTTTCTCTTGTTTGCTTGAAAGAGAAAATGAAAGAAAAGAAATAAAAGTAAATAGATTTCATCCCAAAATATTTTCTCCTTCAAAGTGGTGAGAAAACTACAATGGAAGAGAAAACTTATCAAATGACACATTTGCCCTCAATTCCTTTTCATTTTTGACCATTTAAATAATGATGCAAATATATTTTTACTTTATCGCATTTTCTTTCCTCCTACTTTTCCTCTTATTTTCTATTCATCCTAACAATAACTATTTTCTTTTCATTTTCTCTTCTCTTCACTTTCTTTCCTCTTACTTTCTTTACTTCAATTTTCTCTCATCACCTAAACAACCATTTGTCATTTAGTAAGTAACTACATATGAGCAAAATAAGCGTGTGAAATTTCTTTATGTAAAAAAAGTATTTCTTTATTACTTAAATAAACATTTGTTTTTTAGATAAAAAAATAAAGAAAATTATGTAAGAAGTTCCACAAAAAAAATATGCATCCAAGGTGCACCAAAGAAGCAATCATTCAATGGATAGGTCTTCGGATACTACTCTAATTAAATTAATGTTTTCTTTTTTCCTTTTTGATTGTCCCAAAATAAATTTTAGATTCCATAAAAAAGTGGTTCATAATGATTCTCACTCCTCCCTACGTGAAAAACAAACAGAAGATTAATTTAAGATAGAGGTAGTATTAGTTCCAAAAAAAGGATTATATTAATTAGTTCTTGACATAGAATATATCACAAAGTTTTAAATAAATATACAAATTTTATTTATTTTTCATGTTTGTTACGCCGTAATAAAATACATATTGTAATTTGTAAATGATGTGAATGGTATATAAATATATATAATGGGATGAAATGATACCCGGAGTATTCTTTTTTATGCTATAAATTCTATTACAATTTAAAATATGTTCATATATTTTTAATCTATATCTGTAGTATAATCTAAAGTAGATAGAGTTACTACCTTTACCGAAGTTCAAACATTTGACGTTCCATTTAGAAGATTGACTTTGATTTTATTAGACCACAAGATCTTTAGCAATAAAACAATATTCCTAGAAACTCAATGATACAAAATTTGATACATTGTTATGTGTTCTTGTTGTGTGTCCATGCGATGCTCAAAGTTGGAAGTCTTTTAAGAGGATGTTTGTGAGTGATTAACTTATAAATAAAGTGATTTTTACAAAAGCTGAAAGCAAAGCACCTCATGTCTGCTTCTCCGAAACGGTGTTCTACGTACAAAATAGTGGTGGTGAAAATCAAAAGCTGACATGCCAAACAGAGTAAAACCACTGCTACTCAAAGCAGAAGCTAAATTATTAAAAACAACATACTGACAAACACCCTCTAAGAGCACGGGAAATGGTTGTGAAGCCATAAAGCTTCAAAATTCTCTCTCTGTCATGTCGTTTCAACTTATTTCACAGTTTTACCTGTAAATGTTTTGAAACCCCGAGGCTTTAAAGTAGAGCTTCAAACCTTTTTTTTATTTTTTAATACACATTTTGTAAAATTAAATTAATAAAACTTCATTAATTAATTAAATTAAAAAGACAATAGTTCATTAAATAAAAATATCACATAAAATAAAAAAGAAAATTTAATTAAAAATACATTTAAAAAAACTAAAGTAAATTATATTTGGTCTTGATCTCCTTTTTTCTTCTTTCATAAAGCATATGTTTGAATCCCCTTAACGTATCAGTTTCGGTTTCCATTATTTCGACATCTTCCTTCTCTTGCCTTCGTTTCTCTCCCTAGTATTGAACACTCACAAGTGTTCAACCATTGTCCAGCCAATATATATCCTCGTGAGAGGAAACAGAGCCGGACCCTGCAAAACCCCGAGGCAATGGATTTTGTCTTCTTCCTTTCGATCGACCGTTGAATGGAGTTCTTGTCGTTGGAGTCGTCTAGGTTGGAGACCTTTGTTCCAACGAGCCGATAGTCTCATCGACCTCGATCTTGGCGTAAGATCTTTTATTTGATGGTCCGGCCCCGGGGTTGTTGAGTTGTTGCCATTTTGGTGAACGGATTAAAATTCTCCAAAGATTAACGAGGACTTGCCTAGGTGCATGTCGCCTTGGTAAAATAATATTCTTCACTTTGTTGGTCTATTTTCATTACTTATTTGATAAAATAATATAATCATATCACCTTGTAGATATTTGATGTAATTTTTAAATACTCTTTCCGTCCCAAAAAAACAATGTCACATTTATTATTTTGGTCTCTGAGTAACTTGTGTTTGTTTATTTGTTTTGGTTGACTATTTAATAAAATAAAATTCTATTAGAACTTTTTGATCTACTTTTGGTTGATATATATAATTTTTACATTTTATTTGTCTATTACTTTGTGAATAAAATCATTGAACATTTTATAAAATAAAATATTCTAGTCGCCTGTTATTTTGTAGAACTTTTTCACATAATTTTCTAATATATAATTTTTTTTTCATTTTCTAATATATAATTTTTTTTTCTTATTAACAAAGTAATTGTAAATAAAATCATTTGAAAAACAAAAAGTTTTGCCACGAAACGACCAATTTTAAAATATTTTTACTTTTGAACGGTGCGTAGACTTCGTATGACCGTGGAGAAGAGTTTGCAGGAAATGGGCAGGTAAAAGAGTCAATGCTGTGAGGGTCCACCATGGTTAAACCTCACCGCCGTTCCGCCCTTGGATTATACGGACGAGTGCGGGTTGTGGACCACAATCATTAGGACCCACTCGCACTTGTAGGCCCCATCGCTCGCAGTTGTAGGCTCCATCGCTCTCTTTTTTTTTAAACCTAAAGTCTAAAGATTAAATTATACCTAGTATAAATAATCCCTTATTACAAGAGGTTTTTTTAGATTCAGTCCATAATTTTTAAATATTTCATAAATGATACTTAATTTTTGAAATTATTTTATAAGCAATTCTTTAGGGACTATTTTGTAGAAAAATATTTTCTCATATTTGACCTAAATGACTATTTGTGAAATAATTTTCCACAGTTGAAGACTACTTATAGAACATATAAGGACTAAATATGAAAAATCACCGTCATTAGGGATCATTTATAAAATTTACTCAAGTTTAAAATACCTATAAATGTCAGGGACATTGCACAGTTGACAAAAACAAGGAGTGCGAAAAAGGTAGACACAAGTCTGATTTATAACAACTATATTGGGAGGCAATTAGGCTAAGCATAGGGCCTCTTCAAGTACCAGGTGCATGCTTCACTCCTTCCATTAATCTGCGATTAAAATCCAATTTACCTCCTCTTAGTGCATGTTTGGTCAAGTCTGAGGGGGTCATCAGGGATGTGGCTCATCCTTTTTTTTTGAAATACCTTTGTGTATTTTTCCATTTTTGCAGTTAAATATTTCTAATCTTTTACTATATTTACTTTCTCTAAATATTCACCAGCAAAAAAAGGGAAAATCAAAGTAATTTTACTTCTCTAACATGTGTGTGTAAAGTAAATATGAGGAGTAAATTGTTGGACAGATGAACGGAGGGATTATACATTTCAACTATTAATAAATTATATAGATTTAGGTCTCGTTTGGCAATAACATTAAAATGTAAGTATTTCGAAAAGGTTTTCTAATAGTGTTCTATCACTAGCATTCTTATTTTCAAAGTTAATTTATACGGAGTAGTTTTTATTTTTTCTAAGAAACGCTGATGAATAACAAGTAGCAATCTCAAACAAAGGCTTAATATCTCCTTAAATTTAGGTCATGTTCATTTGAGTTGGAATTTCATTGTTGAATGTTGGAAGAAAATGGAAGTTGGAAGAAATTGAAAGGCTTTGAAAAAAACTAAAAAAGAGATGGAAAATGTTGGAAGAATTTAAGTATTAAAAACCCACTCAATCAAATAATCATCCAAATAAACATATAAGAAAATTTTAATTTTGGAAAAAAAATCATCATTGTCCGCGTTGGAGGTGATATGTTATAAATTTGGAGATATAATGTTTTTTTGTATTAATCATATATAAATAGTGTTTGAAAGATTTAAAAAAAGTTAAAAGTTGATTTTTTCAACCCAAAAGAATAGGACTTTAGCATTGGAACTTCTCATTTAAAAGTCAGATTTATAATACTCTATCACAAGATTTGAAGCAGAGGTAATTTGTTGGTGATTTTAGTATTATTAGCTATTTTGTGTGATTGAATTTACTTAGATAAGACATGAATTTGAATATATGTCATCAAACTAGGTAGAAGGTACGGGGTGCACATTCGTTCAATGATATTACAAATTCATACTGGGTCCGGGCGCGGCAGCCCCTGTGGCGGGGTCCAAGTAAATTTTTTTTGGACATTATTATTTTATGAAAATCCTTTAGATTTTCGTGAACGGATTTAAAAAAAATTAAAAGATTTGAACTTACGGATAAACATCAAAATTGACCTAAAAAGCCAAAAATATATTTGTGCGAGCGTTTGCGTCCTTAAGCAAAAGTTCGGTTCTATTCTTGCCGCTCGAACATTTGCAATCATACGTGAACAATCATGTCTCATCGTGGATTTTCGTATCTATAACTAGAGACTCGCGGGTATGTTTGAGATACGGGATTTCGAAGCTTGTTCTTAATTAACGTCTTATCCGATTAAGGCAGTGTTCCGTTCAACTTTTTTTCTGCTTATTACTTATTCTTATTATAATCAGATCAGATCAAACTAGATCAGAAACAGCTTTAACTATAACTACAATCAGTTCAAATCACACGAGATAAAATCAGATCTTCAAAAAATTAAATCTTCAGATCACAGTCTAAAGTATTTTAATATATTCTGAAATAACTTTGATCTAAAAATATTTACCATATTCTCGTTATACTATGAGTGGTTCCAGTCTTTCTTCCTTGTTTAATGGACTTTAAGGCTGCTTCATCCTCCTAAAAGTCCCAAGTTTCTAACAAAATACTCCCTCTTCCCGCAATAATGTACTCCGGATCAAGTATTGATCTCCATGCTGAGAGAGATCAATTTTTGTAATTCTTGAATTTTGGTTGAGTGGAATCACACGCACTCAAGAAAACAAGCAAAAGAGTCATCTCCTAGTCTCGTAGCAAATGATTGCCTGGTTCATGCGCACTAAACCCACATTCCAAAACTCGCAAATTCCATACATAGATATAAAATAATTGAATATGAAGACCATTCCAAAACTCCCAAAAGCCATACATAGATATAAATTAATTGATGATAAAGAAAACCCAGAATTGGGAAAGGAGGAAAGAGATAGAAGAGGCGCTGAAAAGTTGAAGAAGAAGAAGAAGAAGAAGAAAAACACACACAGGAAAGAGTGTTATGATCCATGGATCCAGTACTCCAAACTCTGCAATTTTGGCCACTGGGGATTTTTGTTCTTGTTCTTGCTGCGATTTTACCCAGGCTTTTCAATACTCAAAAGAAGAAATCGCCCAATAATCTCCCCCCAGGTTAAATTCCATTTCTTTTTTTTCTAATATTCTTTTCTTGTAGATCTTTGAGTGTCAATCTCGGGAAATGGTGGATTTTGTGCAGCCATACCAGGGTTACCGGTTCTGGGAAATTTGCTGCAGTTGAAAGAGAAAAAGCCCCACAAGACATTCCTGAACTGGGTTGATAAATATGGACCTATCTATTCAATCAAGACTGGAGCTAACGCCATTGTTGTTCTCAACTCCACTGAGCTTGCAAAAGAGGTGCTTTTCTCCCTCTCCCTTTCCCAACTCAATGTGTATATTTGTGGCTTAGACTATAGTTTTGTGTTTGTGGATTGTGTTTATGAAGTTTATAGCTTTTGGCAATGGACAGAAAGTTTATTACAATGTGCAAAAAAGTGAAATGCAAGAAAGTTTGTTTTTTGAAACAAAATTAGGAACTTCACCTGGATTGTGGCCATTTAGCATTGCTGATTGTGCTATGATTGTCTGTGTTTTAGGCCATGGTAAACAAGCACCCTTCCATCACAACAAGAAAGCTCACGAGTGCACTAAATCTGCTCACTCATCGCAAAACCATGGTTGCGATGAGTGATTATGGAGACTTTCATAAGACAGTAAAGCGGCACATGGTGACTGGCGTTTTGGGAGCAAATGCTCAGGTTTTTGCTCAACTCATTTACAACCCAGCTTATGCTACAGTTAGCTTCACCATTATTGCTTTCTTGATTGCTTAAAACTTGGGAATGGACTTCTTCTGATCATTGCAGAAACAACATCGCATCCATAGAGACGTGTTGATCGAAAATGTTTGTAATGAACTGCATGATGAGCTCAAGAAACGCCCTCAGGAAGCAGTGAACCTTAGGAGATATTTTCAGTCTGAACTCTTCAGATTGGCACTGAAACAAGTGAGTTGTCTGGATATGTAACACTTCACCGTGTCTGTTATAATAGGGTAATGAATGTAGCCTTATTGAAAGAAAATGTGTGATTAATTTACAGGGGATTGGGAAGGATTTAGACTCTGTATATGTTGAGGAGTTTGGATCTGCAGTGTCAAGAGATATGATGTTCAAGTTTCTAGTCGCCGATTGCATGGAGGGTGCAATCGAGGTCGACTGGAGAGATTTCTTCCCTTACCTCAAATGGGCTCCTAATGGAAGGTTTGAGAAGAAAGTCCTGGATATACAGTTTCGCAGAGATGCAGTAATGAAGGCTCTCATTAAGGAACAGAAAAAACGTGTGGAGTCCGGAGAGGTATTCTATGTTAAAGCCTTGTTTGGGAACATCATTTTCTATTTGCGTTAGGGTATTGGATATTTTTTTTAATGGTGCCATGCAGATAGACTTTGAAAACGTTAACGCTAAACAATGTCATTAAACTGCTTTCTTGACTACTTTGGCGACAGGAAATAAACTGCTTTCTTGACTACTTGCTGTCGGAAGGAAAGACACTAACTGAGGAACAAATTCAAATGATTGTGTGGGAGGAAATTATTGAAGCGTCGGACACCACTGTGGTCACCACAGAATGGGCTATGTATGAAATAGCCAAAGACCTCGAACGACAGGTTTTTTTCTCTTCACGCATTATTCCTATCTATTTTCCCCCCCTCTCCCTAATGGTCTGTTTTTTACACTAGAATCTTTGTGGCTATTTCTTTTTGCAGAACAAACTACTTCATGAGATTCGCGTGGTTTGTGGGCCGAATAAAGTAACAGAAGACCATATCCGCCAGCTTCCTTACCTTTCTGCCATATTCCATGAAACATTGAGGAAACATGGCCCTGTTCCTATCGTCCCTCTTCGATACGTGCACGAGGATGTACAACTCGGAGGTTACCATGTACCCGCGGGAACTGAGGTATGTGAGAGTAGTAAAATTTTTCTGGGCCTAAGCTTCTGATTTAGTTAGTTTCTTAACATGATATCAAAGTCTTGTTGACCTAGAGGTCACAATCTCAAACCTCACCGTTACCCAGTTTAAAAAAAATTATGTTCACTTGAAAGTGTTAAGCAAAAGCCTTGAAGTATAAAATCTTCCTAGACCTAGGAATCACAAAGCTCGAGCTTTTGACTGGGTTGGTTTCTTGATCGACACTTATTAAGAGGTTCATTCATTCATATTCACAGATTGCTGTAAACATTCATGCATGCAACATGGAGAAGGCACTATGGGATAGCCCTGCAGAGTGGAGGCCAGAGAGATTTCTTGAAGGAGGGTACGAACAGAACGATCTGTTCAAGACAATGTCGTTTGGGGCAGGTAAGAGGGCGTGCGCCGGTGCTCTGCAGGCCATGGTGATTTCGTGCTTGACTGTCGGGAGATTGGTTCAAGAATTCGAATGGAAGATCAAAGATGGAGAAGAAGAAAACGTTGCTACTTCCGGTCTTACGGCTTACAAGCTTTGTCCACTGCTAGCAAACATTAAGCCAAGAAATTGAGGTTGAAGATTGGCAAAAAACAACTTATAATGTTGCTTTTTTGTTCAGGAAAATGTTCAAATATGTTGTAATGATTGAAGCTTGGATGATGCTCTATGAAATAAAATGTACTCCCTACGATCAAAAATATCTTCCCGTTGCGCGTTATGATGTTTGACTAAAGTTATTTTTGAATCATTTTATATAAAAAATTGTGTGAAATTAAAAAAAAATAAAAAGCTAAAGATTTACAAAATTAAAGGTGACATGATTATATTATTTTATTAAATGACTAGTAAAAATAGACTAACAAAGTAAATAAAGTTTGATCCCGTGAATGGTGAACAAGAAAAAAAATTTGGACGGCGGGAATACTTTATGATGAGAAATTTGCACTTATTTGTACCAACTTATCGATGATCGAAAAATGACAATATTTTAGTCGTAGTCTCATAGACCCGTAGTAAAGATGTCACAAATTTCAGACAATACACATGTTCTCTTCAACTTAGATTCGATAAAGTTCTGATCTGATTGTAATTATATTTAAATTTGTTTTTAAATTGATTTGATTCCAATAAGAATACATACTTGTTAAATAAGATAAATTAGTTGAAAAGAATAACTTCTAATAAATAAGTTGAAAAGAATAAGTTCTATATTTCTAATGTTGGTCAAAATTTGCAAATATTGACAAAAAATGGAACTGGAATAAGACAGGGAAAACGGCAGAGTAAAAAATACACAGTAAATATTCAATCACTTTAAATTTGGAACTGAAATTGAAGACACATTCTTACCTACTACCCTTCTTACCGCACTCCAAACTTTGGCCCTGCTTGGCATTAGCGTCAAAGATTAGTGTTAGAGTTTTGAAAAAGGTATCTGACGGTAGCCTTTAGCGTTAGCGTTTTCAGAATTAATCTGCACCGTTAAAATTTTATCCAAAACGCTAACGCTAATCGAAAACGCTGTTACCAAACAAAGCCTTTACCTAGCTTTATTTTATTAAAACAAACTAATACAATTACAGGTGAAAAAGGTAACATATAATTTCAGCATTAATAATAAAAATCCCATTATAAATGCTATGCTAATTATAGAGAGCCTAGTTAGGCTTAAAGAACTTGAGCTTGAGGCCATTGTAGACCAAGCTCCAAACACCACCAATGGAAAGGGCTAAGCTAAAAGCCACACCCAACCAACCCAATGTCCAGTTGAAGTACCAGCTGAAGCTACCCTTCTTTGGCTTCTTTATGAGCACCCACATGAAGCACGGGTAGGCGAACGTCACGGGGAGCGTGATCCCGCCCAATAGCCCCGCAAAGCTCGCCAGGAAAGGGAGCGCGACTCCCACGAACAGGGAAAAGAATCCGTAGAAAACCCGGAAACCGGACCGGACCCAGACCGGGCACGGCCGGTTCGTTCGGCTCACGTACCCCGCCTCGAAGCTGTCGAAAGCCGGCATTGAGTATATCTGGAAACTGCTCAGGCAACTGAACACGACTAAAAGAAACGTCATCGCGAGCAGGCCTCTCGGAATGTCGTGCGTGTGAAACGTAAAGAGCGCGCTCAACATCCCGCCCGAAGGCATCTGCATCGGATCAAATGGGAAAGTGTTAGAAATCTGATTGAATCTGATCTGATTTCATTAAGATCTGATCTGATTGTAGTTACATATAAAATTGTCATCACTCTAGGTTGATATGTTGGCAATAAGTTTGGGAGAAAGGTGGAAACTTACAAGGTTTCCATAAGCCCAAAAACCTCCAATGGCAATAGGGAAGAGGCACAATGCAACAAAGAAAAAGGCGACCTTTGCTCCCTTCCACATTGGAACGTGTGCCGGGTGTTTGAAGGTTGATGGCATTGTTGCCTGCATAATCAACGCAACATCTGTTAGAATACAAAAATATTTCCCGAGCCTACAACCACAAACTTGAATTCAATATTTCAGTATAGTTTGGCCAATGAGAAGGAAAGTAAACCTGAATTTCCAAGACCAAATTGTGTCCTCTAAAAGCAAAAGCCACAATACCAAGTGCATTGAGGATTGAAAAGGCATAGGATGTAGGGGAGGGCAACGAAATAGGGTCATAAGAGATTGAGGGTGGCCTAGGTTGGCTGACCGAGAGAACCCACGTCATCGTAGAGTAGATGATGGCAGTGACTGCTCCGACGAGTGACAGCCCCGCGATGGAGTTGAGATTTGGGAGTTGCGACAACACAATGCAGAGGGAGGTGAAGACCAGATACCATTCGACCGTGGTCAAAGGGTTGGACGAACAGAGTGGGCCACACACGGTTTGAAAGAAGAGTTTCATGGTTTCCCCTCCTATGAGAATCAATGCTGTCCCCGTTCCAGCCGATAGGTACACCGTAGGAAATAGAGCTAGCCAAACACCCAATCTTTCTCCTACAAACACACATTTTTTCAATGTATCGAGAAAGTCAAAATGGACAGTTAATATGTAATGAAGAGAGTATTAAAGAAAATGAATAGCAGGTGAGGAGTTGATGCAAACGCACCGAATGCGGCTTCTGCAAGTTCCACATATCTGTTATATCTTTTCCCCGGAACGGCTTCGTGAAGCTGAACTAGAATCCATAGAGTGTAGAGTTGCCATACATAGGCAATGGTTAAGGAAATTATTCCCCATGTCCTGGTTTTTAGAACACACAATGAAAGTCATTTTTCTTGAATCTTTTGTGTTTGTTAATGACAAAAATAACCCTGTGGAGAACTTTTCTATTACATGGATTAATTAGAACACAGTGAAAGTCATTTTCTTGATTGTATTGTGATAATTCTAAGTTCGATGACAAAAAAATTAATAATGTTTCAGTCACCTTAACCCCAAATTGACACCGTTGGTGTCAATGTTTCAAAGAGTGGTCGATAAAATTTAATTGAATTAAGCTAGGGGTACCAACATGGGGTACTCCAAGTGTACACCAAAGCCAACACAGACACACAGACACAAAGTGTCTGTGTTGCACAGACATTTTGTGTCTGTGTTGGCTTGGTGTACACTTGGGGTACCCCATGTTGGTGTACCCCTAGCATTGCCCAATTTAATTATAAAGATAATGAAAGAATAGTGGTCAAAGAGGGATGATCCACTAAGAAGAATAATAATCATTCGTGCAACAGATAAGGAAACATGATAAAGACACAAACTAGCTAGCTCATCACTATAAAGAAGAATAAAGCTGTGTTATAAATTAAAAACAAAAAAAAAAGATTAAAGCTTTATAAAGAAATAATAAATGCAGAGTGGTAAATCAAAGCAAGACAAGACTCCTCTATGAATCATTCATTTTGGGTGTAAAAGCACATGAAAACGAGAGCCTCGGGATTCACTCTTGCCCAACCTTTGATGAAAGTTGGGCAAAACAGTCAAATGGGGAAAAAAACTTCAAAGATTGGGAACAGAGATTCAAAGGAGCTAAGATGAACAGTACTGGAGCAGTAACTATTCCCAATTGGGGTTTTTTTTACCCAGTTCTCAAAGAAGCCACAAAAACAGATCGAAAATATGAAAAAGATCGCATCTTTCTGCAGAAAGAGGAAGAAATAAATGAAATGGTGTTCCAGAAATGCAACAGAAACCATAAATCAGGCCCGAATTAAGAAGAAGACGAAGAAGAAGAAGAAGAGATATGTGTGTGTTATAAAATACCATCCAAGAAATGAGAAAGCAACGGGAAGGAGAAGAGCCTGGAAGCCGACGGAAGCATTGAGGTTATGGAAAGCGGCGTAGTGGGCATTGCCGTTGCGGGACTCTGTGATTGGGAGCCAGGCGTCTTGCGGGTTGAGTTTTGTGAGGTGACCCATCTCTTCCAGGTACCCTTTCATGTTTACCAGAACCCTCTTCATCGGCGTCCCGATTGGGCTCAAGAATCGGGGGGATATGAACGACGTCGGCGTCCACGACTTGTTCCCGGCACCCCTCGGCGACCTCTGCCCCGACGGCGTCAGTATTTCCGGCGTCGACGCGCGCGGCGTCGCCGGAATCGAGATCAGCTCCGTCTCCGGCCTCTCGTCCGCCATCCCCGGCGCTACGAATCCAGAGGAAGGGGGGAAATTATTGGAGTATAAGAAGAATGGGGTTTTGGGTTTTCGTCCTCTTCTGTTTGTTTCTTTGTGCTTTATACTCTTTCTTTCGTCTCCCCCAGCTTTTTCTTGGTTGGACAGAGAATATAATTGTAGGCTAGTGGGATAGACATGCAATGATGATGGGTGTCTGTGTGAACGCACGCGCAGAGCTTGTTGACAGCAGGAGGAGCGACGGCGGCCGGCGGTGGTTGAGTGGCGACTTTGCCGGCGACGGTGCCGGCGGATGGGTGGGAGGTAGAGAGTGTGTGTGAACTGTGAAGTGCTCACGGATAGGAATCCAAATAAATACGGAGTAATAGAATTCCCACGGTTTCTGAATGAGTGTGACAGCAAAAGACAATTTTATACCCTCAAATAAAAAAGACAATTTAATCTTAATTTTTGTTGTCCGTTTGATTAATGTTAGTCCTTGGAATTAAGGTATTTGTACTTGAAAAAGTATATCTATTTTGTATCCTTAATTTATGTACTAATATTGTGTGCTGGTGTAATACTGTTGTAATGACTTATATTAATACAAAATATCAGTGCAAATGTGGCAATGTGGTAATGTACGTGTGCACATTACTATATCTTTTAGTAATGCATGATCGTGTTTGATAATGTAAATGTATTTTAAGTCTTAATTCAGAAACAAAAATATGGAAGTTCTATTTTGATATATTTTCAATGTTTTAGTCCTATTTTAGTCTTTCTCACAAAAAAAATTCGTGTAACATACTGCCTTTTTTGGCCCGTCTGAAAATATTCTTCTCATTCCCTTTCTTAATATAGGTTTTAAGGTAAAATTTCAATAATACCCTTTTAATTTATCAATAATCTACTTTTTTATTGTTTTTTAATAAGAAAAGAAGATTTAAAAGTTTATAGTATATCTATTTTTGGAAATTTGACATTTTATAAGCATGTCAAGTCTACACGGGAAGAACATTCTCGGACGAAAAGAGTAGTTATTACGGAGTAATTCCACATGAAGTCTGATGGGAAATAATACGTGGCTCGGCCTACATTTCCCAATTATTTACGAAGTATAATTTGTTTCATCCAAATTATTACTGTCCCCATGCTTCCCCCAAAGGCCCTCTTCTCGTTTTTGTTTACGTGATTTGATCGATTTTATTTTTTATTAAATTTATTTGATTGTAGGTGTAAAATTAAAAAATAAAATTAACATATTTAAAAATTACATCAAAAGTTTTACAAAATATGAGGTATCAAGACTATATTATTCTATCTAATAACTGACAAAAATAGGCAAAAAAATTGATTAAAAATTGATTGTGTGAACAATAACTGAGAAGAACGTACGTTATAGGACGGAGGAAAAAATATTTTCATTTAATTTCTCTTGATCAAAATTTATAAATTGACATTGATTTATGAAAAAAGTTTGTTTCTTTATATAAATATAATATCAATAAGTTGTAATTTTAATTTTTTATAAAATACATATATCTATTTATAAAAATCCATACGGAGGAAATATTTAGGAAATACATGTACGTATTTTCTATTTTATAAAAATACATGCATCTTTCAAAACTATTATGTCTACAAGCTGGTATAAAAATAAAAAATATAAATTACATTCTTCAAAATTACGTTAAAAGTTCTACACGTATAAAATAAGATGTGACAAAAATATTTTATTTATCAAATAATAAATGAAAATATACAAATAAATAAAAGTTATTGGAAAGCTTGAATGGTAATTCAACCTTTTTTCCCCTTTTTTAACTTTCATTTGTCATTTTTTTCTTTTTCTTTTTCTTTTTTACAAAAAAGAAACTCGTCATCGAAGTAATTATTAGAGTACTCGTCAACGTTGTTTCTAAAACTTTCCGATGGGTTGGGATGTTGGTTTGGGTGCAAACGGCCCACAAATAGTTCAACATATAATCCGCATGAGGTTAAACGAACAATACGAGCGAGATAAATATGTGCAAGGCCCAAATGGCCCAAGATCAAGAAATGAACAGTGGTGGAATGGGCTAATATAGCCCATTTAAAATTTCTATGATTGTCAATAGACATTGCACTATTGGCATGATAAAAACTATCGAGTCAATCCAAATGGTAATACTTGAGTTTGATTTTTCTTGACAACTGTGTTGGGTGACATTTATGTTAAGTATAAAGCCTCTGTTAGTATTATTACGTATATGTTTCACTTTTTTTATCAATCTGTGATCAAAGACTATTTTACTTATTTTAAGTGGTTGTGTGGTTAGTTCTGAGGTCTCTCGGGGATGAAGTTCATGATTTTTAAAATTTATATGACTAAATAAGCTTTATTTGATGAAATTAAAGTGGAAAATAGAAAAAAATATGATAACTAGATTGAACTATAGTACTTTAATTTGACATATTTTCACCACCATCAGAGATCAAAATATTTATTTATAAAGATTGCGAAGGCATATCTACTTTATAGTAATAAGATTGATGTAATCTTCTTTCTTGCTCCACATTAAAAGTGATTTTGACATGCATAGAGATAGTGATTTTATTATTGATGAGCTTTATGCTAGGTAGTACTACCTTAATGAATATTATTTAATAGAATCTTTATTTGCCAACCCAATAAACATGGTTGCATTTAAATTTTTGAGATGATGCTTCTTTCCTACTTTGTCTTTATTTGTGTTTCTACTCATAAACTATGACTTCTAATGTATGAAATGAAATAGAGAAGTATTTTTAAGCAAAAACAAAATTATCTACTTCTCACTTATACTTAAAACTTACTCCCTCTGTTCTTAAAAACACTTCCTCTTTCATTTTTTTCACTTCCAACAAAACACTTCCACTTTCTATTAAAAAACCACTTTTACCCTTACTTTTTCATACCCTACCTATCACATCATATTTTTTCTCTAATAATCTATCCATCACATCTTACTTTTACCCATCACATCAGGGGCAAAATTGGAAGTCAACTATAATTTAACACTTTCTTATTTTTGCTCCAAGTCAAATAGGAAGTTTTTTTGCAAACGGAGGGAGTATTATTTTTCCATCAATATACCACATTCTCAAATATCTTCTTAATATTGTAAGTTTGTAACAACATCGTACTACTAGAATTCAAGTACTAATCGTGAATGTAAAATACTACATAGTAATAAATTACCCTTTATGCCCTTAGAAATTTTGTCATTGATTACGTGATCTTTAATCACTACTCGTATAGCTAATACCTCGAGGCATATTTTAATGAGAAGTAATTCGTGTATTGGTTCTAAAATCAAGAAGTAATGTTATGATATCTGAAATTTAAAATAAATATTTTGAGTTATGCAAGTACACCAAATTGTCTACTCGTTAAATGCACTTTATTTGATGTACCTCATTTATACACCATAAAAAGTGATAGACTTTTTTGGTGTATTGCTAAAATTTTTGAAATATTGTTTTAAGAGATTTGAAATATCAATGTGAAGGATCACCGACAAATGACAATGATCATGGCTACCAACAAGTCTAGAGTAGATAGTGATTGAAGAAGATAAGTACCAAATTAATATTTACCAAATTTTGGGAATATCAGAACTCCTCCATTTTCTAGAGTTATAAAAACGAAGATATCAAATTTAAATTCTCTTTAAGGCCCAGCGGTGTGCCCATTGGAAAGGAAAAACGAGATGCCACCTGGCGTGGGAAGGGAAGGGGAATGTTGCCCCCTCCCCCCTGCGGGAGGGAACGGGAAGAGCGAGAGCCCTTACCCATTTTTTCCGTTGGGCTTTACGGTTGGATTTTGTTTTTTTGAAATAGCCGTTATAAAATTTAAAAAATAAAAAAATATTATTTAAACACAACACTCCACTCATCTTTTTCACACACTTTTATCCATTATTTTTGCTAAACATTTGTCATATTTTTAGTTTATGGATCCATTCCGACCACCAATGTCTTCCTCTGATTCTCCCTTTTCTTCATTTGTGGCTCTTGCTTGAGGGCCAAGTTTTTTCCAAATACAAAAATTTCAAGAATCACAGCTAATGCAATTGCAACAATTCCAGAACCAGTGACGCCTGACCATCCCAACCACCGTCAAGCAACCACCGCACGAAATGGCTCCCACACAAAATGTGTCTTTTGATATCAAAGCCGATATGATATTGATGAGGTTGTGCCCAAAACACACCCTCCAAAAAATCAAAAGGGAAGGGAAAATGTGAAGCGAGACCAAGCACAACTCGGAGTGCTCCAAAATTTTGGACCATGACGAGGAGGAAGTTATAGCCAAAGTTTGGGTTAACATTTCCACCGATCCGATAAGAGATGCGTTTAACTTGGATTGATTTTTTAGGTAAATTGTTTTTATATATTTATTTTTTCTTAAGTTTTTTTCACTCGTATACGGGGAATGCTGAGACGAACGACACCTTTTGGGCTAAAGTGACCGACAAATTTCATGAGTTGATGAACTCAAAGGCGTACTGCCCTGTTCATTTCATAGCTTCCATTTACCGCGATATCACTAGACAATTCAAAAATTTAGTGGTATTCACAACAATATTTACTTGAACAGTGCGAGCGATTCGAGTGACAAGATGTCTTACAACAATCGCTTGATAAATATCAAACACAATTTTCTTCTTTCTTCCTGCATCTTAGGGTGTGGGACATCTTTCGCGGATGTTCTAAGTGGGCGCCGGTTCTGAACGAGGTTGCCTAAGAGAAGCAATCCAAAACATCCGAAACGACGACTATAGTACCGGCATGTCCGATGCGCGTTGGATGCTGCATATCAGTGACAATAATGACGGCATACTAGCACCATCGGAGCCGGAACGATTCTTGGTTAAAAGGTTCGAGCAACTCTGCACTTCGTTGTCCGCCTTTGCTAAGATGCATTCGGAGAGGCTTCGTGTTAAACAACAAACGAGAGCGGAGAACCTTGAGCAAAGACGCAAACAAAAAGCGGAGAAGCTTGCCCTCGAATCCCAACACCTAGAGCAAGCACACTTCAAAATCATGATCACCTATGTCGATAAGCTTGGTCCAACGTTGCTAAATTCATATTTATAGCATTATATATTACAAATTATGTTTTTCAATTAATTATATTTAGTTTGATTTAAAAATTCCACCTAAATACATTGGCACATAGATAGTGGTACTACCTCCGTCCCATTGTTTTTGTCCAGTTTTGACTTTTGGAACTGTTCATTTAAACACTTTGACTCATCAAATTCTCTCAATGTGTAAGCCTAAAAATAGTCATGTGTGATCTTGTTTGATTCGTCT